ATAAATTTGGGAGATTGGGCCCTTATCGGATATAACATTGGCAAATATGTTCTCCCATGAAGTGGTCTTTCTTGTTGTTTTGTTGATGGTTTCTTTTGCTGTGCAGAAGCTTTTTATTTTGATGTAGTCCAATTTGTTTATTTTCTCCTTAGTTTCCATTGTCCTAGGAGATGTATCAGAAACAATATGACATGTCTGATATTTTGCTACCTATGAATTCTTCTAAGGTATTTATGGTTTCCCGTCTTGCGTTTAAGTCCTTTGTCCACTTTGAGTTTATTTTTGTGTATGGTGTAAGTTGGTGGTCTACTTTCAGTTTTTGCATGTATCTGTCTAATTTTATCAACACCATTTATTGAAGAGACTGTCTTGACTCCATTGTATGCTCTTGCCTCCTTTGTCAAATATTAATTGAGCATAATGGCTTGGGTCGATTTCTGGGTTCTCTGTTCTGTTCCACTGGTCTATATGTCTATCTTCTTGTGTTAGGTACCAGGCAGTTTTGAAATCAGTGGCTTTGTCATATAGCTTGATATCTGGTATTGTGATCCCTTCAACCTTGTTCTTCTTTCTCAAGATTGCTGTGGCTATTTGGGGTCTTCTTTTGTTCCATATGAATTTTTGGAGAGTTTGTTCTAGGCCTGTGAAATATGCCATTGGTATTTTAATGCATTGAATTTATAGATTGCTTTGGGTAGTGTGGACATTTTAATGATATTGATTCTACCAATCAATGAACACAGTATATTCTTCCATTTGTTTATGTCTTCCTTTATCTCTTTTTTCAGTGAAAGACACAAACTTTTGGTACACAGAACAGCATGCTTGATTCTCAAGTATGCTAAACAAAAGGAGATAGCCACTTTTTAAAAAAAATATATTTTATTGATTTTTTACAGAGAGGAAGGGGGAGGGACAGAGAGTTAGAAACAACGATGAGAGAGAAACATCAACCAGCTGCCTCCTGCACACCTCCCACTGGGGATGTGCCTGCAACCAAGGTACATGCCCTTGACCGGAATTGAACCTGGGACTTTTCAGTCCACAGGCCAACGCTCTATCCACTGAGCCAAACTGGTTTGGCGAGAGAGATAGCCACTTTTTATTTGCAGGTGCTATTATATGAAATTTTAAAGGCAACACTAATCTAGAGTTATAGAATGCAGATCAGTAATTACCTGGAGCCAGAAGTGAGATAAACTGACTATAAAAGAGCATGAGGGAACTTTTTGGAGTGATAGAAATATTCTACATCTTGATCATGATGGTAGTTATACAGGTGTATATAGTTATCAAATCTCTTAGAACTGTATACTTGAAATATGTGTATGTTATATGTAAATTTTAACTTAAAGTTTATTAAATAAAAAATATTTTTAGCCTTGGCCATTGTGGCTCAGTTGGTTGGAACATTGTCCCGTACACCAAAAGGTCGTGGTTTTAAATTACAGTCAGGGCAAATACCCAGGTTGTGAGTTCAGTCCCCGGTTGGGGCATGTACAAGAGGCAACCAATTCATGCTTCTCTCTCACATCCACCTCTCTCTCTCTCTCCCTCTCTCTCTCTCTCTTCCTCCCTCAGTCTCTCAAAAACAAACAAACAAATAATCAAACATATATCCTTAAATATATATGTATGTGTGTGTGTGTGTGTGTGTGTGTGTGTGTATTAGCTCTATAGATAGTCATATAAGGGTGACAGATGGACAAGTAGAACAGGAAGCAAAGAGGTGAGCAGCAACAAAGCTAACTTGGGGCCCAAATGGATTCTTGGGAACCCTTCCAGTGAAGCCCAAGTTCTAATCACACCAAGTATCATATTGCCATTATCAGTCCTTGATATTTCTTCTTCCATGCTGGTAATCAGTCTGTTTCCTATAACGCGAAATGGCTTCCTTCTTTCCTCTCTAATTCCTACATCTAACTCCATTTCTGTGGAGTTTCCCCCCCCCCCCTCTAAGTTCTCTCTTGACTACTGCAGTACTTAAGCAATTCTCCAATGAATTGATATTATGCAATTAAGAACTTGGTTAACCTCTAATTGGGTTGCTTTTACCTAAAACTGTAGTGGAAACTGGTTAAGGGAAGATTTCTAATATTTATACTCCTGTTATCTCCTTTCCCACATTCCACTTAATGTTCAAGGAAGTGCATCAAAATATGTCTTTAATCTCTGTAGTTCTTTCCATTTCTTCTCCCACAATCCTAGGTTATTGTCTCTTGTTTGGACTATTGCAGTATTACCTTAATTGGTCTCTCTGCTCTATTCTTACCCCTCTTTGTTCTTCACACAGCATTCAGAATGACATATTTTAAAAGTAAATCAGATTATTTTACTTCATTCCTTACAATACTTCCATTACTTCCCACTGTACTTAGATTAAAATATGATCCCTGCCTATCTAGATGCTATCTTTACCTTCTTCCTTTTCCCCTACTCACTGCTTCATCAAACTGAGCCCTTTCCCAGCCCAGGGTTTTTGTAATTGCTATTCTTCTCCTGGAATCCTTTTCTTCCAGTTCTTTTGTGGGGCGTGGTTACGGTGTTTTGGCCAGGTTCAAGCCTCGGACTAATGAAAGGACAGGGTCCTCTCATTGCCACGTGCAAGTCCCAGCTGGAAGGGCAGAGCCCTCCCAGCACAATTATAGCCAACAGCTATGGTTGTAAGCTTGAACCTATGGTCCGAACACGTAGCCCCAAGTGCCTTGTGATAGAGTTCGGGTGCAGGTAGTTAAGTGAGGCTGAAACTCACGAGAATGCTGTAAACAACGTGATCATGCCCCTACTTTGCCTCGTGGCATCTGCTATAAAATAAAGACATGGCTTGTGAGCTCTGTCTCCTCATCAGGGAGGCAGTGTCCCACTGAGACCCAGCTGTTATTCTCTGTCTGTCTTTCCTTAATCCTTTCACCCCCGCACCTGGGATCACCGTTGGTCATGCTGGCGTGACACATTCTTTCTATGGCTTCTCATGCTTCAAGGGTCAACTACAAGGTCACACCTGAGGCCTCTCCAAAAGAGTATCTGCATCCCTCTCAACAGAAGTGTTTCCTATCATATAATCTTGTTTATTTCTTTCCAAGGAACTTAGCACATATGAAATCTACCTTGTATTAGTTTACTGGCTTGTTGCCCGTGTCCTCATCAGTTAATAACCACCATAAGATAGAGATCTTTTCTATTTTGCTTGTCACTAGCTCCCCAGCAGCTAGCATCAGACTGGCTTATTGAAGAAACTCAATAAGTAATCATTGAATGAATGAACACATGAAAATGTAGTAGGCAAATAATAAGTACCCAGTGTTTGTTTTTGTTTTTCCCTGAAATTTTCTTTTCCTAAAATTCTTTTTTTACCTCAATTTTACAGGTAGTTCTGTCGTGACTGTAAAAGCCTTTGCTTCAGAGTCAATTCAAGACCACATTAAATATTCAATTTTTAGTGGAAATGAAGATGGAGTTTTTTCCCTGTGCTCCAGTTCAGGTAGGTCTCCTCTCCCCAATAACAGCTTTACTTCCTGCATCATGTAATGTTACGAGTAATAAATACTTCTCCAAAGGAAACAAAATTGAAAAGGTAGAAATTGTTATAGGTAAATAATTTAAAAGGTAAACCACGTTTTTTTATGGTCACAGATGAGAATTTGTAGGAAATCAAGAACTATTTACTTGTTCACATGTTCTTGCTAAGAATTCTATTCTTTACATTTCCAAATTAGATGGTTCCTATCCTACTCTGAGTTTTTTAGATAAATTAGTTTCTACTCATAATGAACTCATCTGTGTGGGAGAATTGGAGATATAGTCGAAAGATCATTGATATTTACATTGAATTGAAAATAAGCACATGTCTAGCCTGAGGGAATCATCATCAGATTCTTCCAATTTGCCACTGAATGTCAATGATGCAACAAGAGAGGACAGCTGGAAAGGTTTCTATATTGTGGTAAAGAAATTACTTCCAAATACAGCATGTATTAAATTTAGCTTTAACAAGACCATTATTGTGTTTTAAATGAATACCAATTGATTATTTAAAACATACTGTTTTTTACTAACAACTATGTAGTAGATACGTATCTACAACTTCGTTGTCAACCCTCAAGAAGTATGTTTTTAATAATCTCATATTACCATACAACTGCCTTATTTAATCTGTAATACATGCACATGGGAAGAATTGAGAGAGGGTAATTTCTTAAGTAAATGCTTTCTTGTCCAGGGTAGTGGTTTGACTTTTTGATCCAACAGCCTTTAGTCAGGAGCTTTCTGAGGTAGTCTGCTAGGAATCTTTATCTCTTCACCCCATCATTTGGTTAAAGGGTGATACAGGCAAAGAGCCATTGGAAGCACCATCAATGAAGTATTGGCAGACACTCCCCCCCCCCACCCTTCCAGTCAACACACAGTCAAGAAAAGCAAGTTTCTGTGCATCCACTTTTAATATATATATATAACATTGATAACATTGATCACTCATTTGGAGCCTTTGGGTTTATAGCTTTATTCTGATTTTCCTATTAGACTTTTCACCTTTTATGAGTTCAGGCTTCTTCCCTTGTTTTTCTAGAGTCTGTGCAGCTATCAGAGATTAATCTCAAAGAAGGAAGTTGTGTTAGAAATCCTTTTAACACAAATGGGATTTTAGTGATTGCTTACTTCCTGGGTTACTGTTTTCACTTATTTATTTATGGTTTGTATTTTACTTTTTATTAAATTTATTGGGTGACATTGGTTAATAAAATTATATAGGTTTCAGGTATACAATTCTATAAATAAATCATCTGTATATTGTATTGCATGTTCGCTAGCTGAAGTTAAGTCTCTTTCTATCACCATTTATCCCTCCTTTACCCTCTTCTACCACCTCCATCCCCTCTGGCCACCACCAGACTGTTGTCTGTGTCTATGAGTTTGTGGGTTGTTGTTGTTTTGTCCTCTGAGGATTCCCTACTACTGTATCGACTCAGTAATGCATTTCAATACACACACACACACACAAATTTATCAAGCATTTTAGTTTTTTTTTTATCATGAAGACATTTCAATATATATTTTATCATATTGCTGCCAAGAAACATTTTTTAAAATTATTAAGTATGATATTAAATTTATCTTTTATGCTACTTTTGTTGCATAATCATTAAACATATCTAAATATTATATGAATGTATGTACATTAAATTGCATACCAGTTAAAAGAGAAAACTGGTATGTATGATAAACCAATGGCATTTAAGTTGTGGTCACTTAATGGTAAAAATGGGAGAAAACCATTTTATTAGTTATAGGCTAAGTAAGTTATGATTAGATGGATCTCTGGTGGGCACTGTGTTTTCTGTCCATCCTTGCCAGAGTTTTCCCTGTGTTCATAGTCACAAACCAAAGGTTTACTTTTGTATCCAAACTTCTTGTCACTTTAGCTTAAAAACATCTACTACTCACTGTCCAAACCAGCAGGACTGTATGTCAATAACAGATGGTAGTATTCATTTCATTACTTGGTAGATTGACATAAAGCAAAAATGATCAAACTTTCAATGTTTCACGGGTGTAGCTTTAACGGGAGAGAGTTTAAAAGCTTGGGGATAACATAAATATTTATCATACTCTGGTTGTATATACGATATGCATGTGCACCATTTGTAATTGACTGAAGTCACCTGAGTGTGCTATCAAACACTTAGCATTTGAAGACTCATAATCTCATTTTTATGTGCATTTTGTAACTTGGACAAAAGCTATATATGTAGATATATCAGAAGGGAAATATTCCTACAGTTTCATTCTCAAGTTGTGTAACTGGCGCTCTAACATATGAGAATGAACATGAAGTTGGTGTTGTGAGGCCCTTCCTCTAAGGAAAACATGGACTCCAGCCCATCCTCTTAGACAGAACCCAGGAGGACTTTCATCTCACCAGTGACAGAAAACCCTTGCTGTCTCTGAGAAAAATATGCATATATCATCCAAGGCAAAATGTGGATCTGGTAGGTGCGCCAGCCGTGAATTATCTCACAGACTGGTTATTGTCTTTTCCACTTGCATAACTTTCGCAGCATATGCCAATTATTATGCCAAAAATAAAAATCAAGCAAGGAAAGCATTAGAGCTGCAGAACCATTCCAAGTTCAAAATTCCAATTATCAAAGCCCAAACACAAGCCTTTTATTAAAAACCCCACTTTGATCTGCACTATAATTGGCACACTTTCTACTCAGTGACACTGGCAATTTAGTGTTGCATTTCCATTGTGTTTCTCCTTTACCAGCGGTAACAGCACATGATAGCAAGCTGAGTGCCCTGCTCGGTGGAGACAGGGCTCCAGATGAGACCTTTGCACCCACTTCGGACTGGGGCTCCTCTGCCATTTGGGGGTGGGGGCTCCTCCCTTGTTTCATGAAGGTTTCTAAAGACCAGCTTCCTTCATTCCCTGCCCATCAAAATGCACCTTAATGATTCTCCAGCTGCCAATGGTTAAAGCTGTTCTAAATTTTGTCAGGGGTGTTGGTAACATCAGACTGTGGTTTGTAAAAGTAATTTGCCTTTCGATCTGAATTGGTAACTAAATCTGATGATAATAAATGAAAGTGATTTTATGAAATTTTAAATTTGATAATATAGTGAGTTCTTCATATAGAATAGAAATATTTAACTTCTCTTAATTACAGAATAGAAGCTATAAAACCCCCTCCAAAATACCCAGTATCAAAGTTAGCATATTTCTTGGGTTAGGATGGTTACCTAGGAAACGGGTTCAGCTAGAGCACTAAGAACTGTGGCTTCCAGAAGCAGGCTGTTTCACCAGAGATAGAATTTTTCTAACAGTCTGAGGCTACTTAATTTTCTCTTACTAAATTCAGACCTTGTAAAGATATTAAATCTATATCTAGTGATGAAGGGGAAGAAAGATATGGGTACAACACTGGGATCTACACCATCTGACTACAAAGAAACAGTCTAAGTATGCACTGTGTGACTTCTCACAGCTACCCTGTGAAGTCATTATTCATATCCCCATTTTACAGAAGGGGAGACTCGGCTCTGGAGAACCTGAGTAACTGACTCCAGGCCGCAGAGTTAGTGTTGGTGGAACCAGGTAACTTGCCTAAATTAAGTATCCAGGTCTACAATCTACGCTTGGTTTCAGATTCCTCGAACTCCAAATCAATGCTCATTCAGCAAATCCCATTCGATGGAATCTCTGACAGTGAGAACCAACTAAATCATAATAATAAAAGTAATAATAATAACATGAAATTCAGTAAGCAATTTAGTTGAAGTGGCCGGGGGTGGCGGCGGGGGAGGGGAGGAAAAGATAGAATAGAAACCAAAGGAAGAAATTATATCAGGATAGGAATTTCTTAATTTGAGGGAGGAACTTGAACATGGCATAACACCCCCCCTCTCCCCCCCCGCCAAGGCCACTTTCCCGAGCCTGGTTATGTTTTGCATACCAGGGCTTTCTGTAAGCCAGACCTTGAGCTGGGTACTGCGGATATGATGGTGTAAGAGGCAGGCAGCTCTCCCCACCTTGCAGAACCCTAAATCCTGAGGAGTAACTAGACTGAAGCAGGTGAACTAAGTACAGCACGTGTTTGTGAGAGTCCACTGGGGGCTGACAGTGATGGCACGGGGGTGGGTGGCCTGGAAAGATCTCTGAGGAAGCACAGGTGTGGGGACTGTTCGAGGCAGATGGAAAAGCATACATGGCAACTCTGAAATGAGAATTTGAAGAACAGAATACTTATGAATGTTATGACCAGAGCAGAGACAGGTGGCGAAGGACATGATGAGATTTCTGAGGTGGGAGAAGTCCTTTGGAGGTTAAAAATGCTGAAATTATCATAATCATTGTGGAAAGCCATTGTAGGGTTTTACACAGGGCAATGACAATGTTGTTTTTTATTATTTAACTAGAGGCCTGGTGCATGAAATTTGTGCACTGGGGGGGGGGTCCTCTCTCAGCCCAGCCTGTGCCCTCTCACAGTCTGGGACTTCTTGGGGGATGTCTGCCTGCAGTCTGGGACCCCTCACTCCTTATTGCCCACCTGCAGCAGAGGCAGGAGAGGCTCCCGCCATCGCCGCTACGCTCGCTGGCCATGAGCCCAGCTTCTGGCTGAGCGGCACTCCCCCTGTGGGAACACAATGACCACCTGGGGGCAGCTCCTGCATTGAGCATCTGCCCCCTGGTGGTCAGTGCGCAACATAGCAACCGGTTGATTTGCATATTAGGGTTTTATTATATAGGATTCAGAATGGGAACTGGGTTGATGGGAAGACCAGTTAAGTGATTAATTCAGCGGACAAAATGGGAGATGCCAGTGGATGGAGGAGGGCAGCAGCAGTGGAGATGAAGAAAGGTAGATTCAAGAAATATTTGGAAGGTAGATTTCCCAGGCACAGTGATGGACCAATTATGGAGAGAGAAAGAGGATTTAAGAGACAGCTTCAAGAGTTCAGATATTTTACAGTTTCTTTCCCTCCTACATGTTTGAACCTTGAACACCTGCATGCTCTCAACCTTTTTCACAATGACTCCAGTCAATAGAGGAGGGAGGCCAGCCAGCATGGGGCTTTGAAAAGGGACAGGTGAGCATAGGAGTACATAAGGCAAAGATGATTTGGAACTTTTAAAATAATAACTACAATATCAACTTCTTTTGTTTTCTCCCTGGGAATAAAAATAGGAGAACTCACTGTGAAAGAACCCAGGTTTCTTGATTTTGAAGTCAGAAATGAAGTACAACTCATCGTTTTAGCTGAAAGCAGTGGGCATAGAGCCTACAGCAAAATAGTCATCTTGATACAAGATGTGAATGATAATTCCCCATGCTTTGGGCAAAGCATTTACCAAGTATCAGTGCCTGAAGGCAAGTTTCACCATGCTCCTATCATACAGGTAACGGAAAGATGTTTGTGCATGTGTGTGTGGATTATCATGAATCAATGTACATCAGAATAGGCCTAAACAATATCTCTTCATGGAGGCTGATGGAAAACTTTCATCCTCAGCACTACTTTGATAATTTGTCACCTGAATGATCAGGGGGAATTTTTTTAGCACTAAATCTAGACTTTGTTTCCTCTATTTAAAGATCCTTTAAAACAGAGACTCTCAATGTAATATAAAAAATCCACATATGGATTCCTTTTCAGGCAACACTTTAAGCAAATTAGATTTTTTTCAACTATATTTTCCTCTTGCCTAAAATTGTAGCTGTAGACATATGAGACTCTACTGAAAGTTCCCTGGAAATCCTTTGGATGAGAACACGGACTTGCTTCCTAACCCATTATTTACTTTATTGTAAAGTGAAATGTAAGCTTCAGCAGTTTGTTAGTGTTGCTTTAATGGTTGTTTTTTAAATGTATTCGACAGTCTGTAATTCTGTCATAATGCATTTCTCTGAAAAACAGACTTAACCCCTGCTGCAGGTGAAATCCTTATCTAAGGCAAGAGTTGCTTCCTCACAGGTTTCTGCTGCCGACCTGGACAGCGGGTTGCACGGCCTCATTGAGTATTCCCTTCTCGCTGGCGAGCAAGCACAGCTGTTCCAGATTGACGCGCGGAGCGGCGTGATAACAGCAAATGGGATCCTGGATTATGAGTTCACCAGCTCCTACAGGTTGGTCCCAGGTTCCAGCCCATTTGATAAGCTATCGGCTTCCTTTCTGACCACACTGTTGTTGCTTTGAGCTTGACTGCCTATTTATTGTACAAGCTTAGTTGTAAAAGGTGTTTTCCCTCTGTTCCAACTTATGGTCACTGGGAGAGTCTTAGGAAGCATTTACAGCTTCAGAAAGGTGATTCAATTAGAATTTTAAGGTTCCTTTTCATTTTAAGATTTCTTGAATTTATGATGCTGCTAAGTACTAAATCAGAGACTTTTAAAAAATCAGTATTCGTCAAATGTCTAATGAGCCATTGAGCACTCTGCTAATGTTTGTTCTTACTATTTTTTAGAACGGTGAAGACTGAATGGCATTGCTCTTTTTAATTCTTTATTCTTTTTGTGTATGAAATTATAATCCTGTCATCAGGAACCTTGAACTGTGTTTTAATAGACATGATATTATTGAAAGCACCCATGGAACATTAAATACTTTTTTGCCTAGAGTCCAAGATAAGCCAGACTTATACAGAATTCTATAAAAGAGAGAATCATAGTGTTACAAGTCTCCTAGGTATTTAAAATGTCAGTGCTACAAAAGTCTAGCCAAACATATAGGGATATTTATGGCACTTCAGTCTGGAAAAGAAAAAGACTAGGGAACCTAAAATGGCTGTGAATGGGGACTGCTTTAAGAATGACAGCCACGTCTTCTGTGAAATACAATGAAACTGATTTTAAAAGAGAAAGCCCTGACCTGTGTGGCTTAGTTGCTTGGGCGTCACCCTGTGCATGGAAAGGTTGCTGGTTCCATTCCTGTCAGGGCACATGCCTGGGTTTTGTGCTCAATCCCCAGTAAGGGGCATGCAGGAGCAGCTGATCGATGTTACCCTCTCACATTCTCTCTCTCTCTTTCTCTCTCTCTCTCTCTCTCTCTCTCTCTCTCTCCCCCTCTTCCTTGCTCTCTCTAAAAGTCAAGGAACTATTCTTTAGAGAGAGAAAGAGAGAGAGAGGCACATTTCTACTGCTAATGAGGATAGAGCTCTAAGATATGTGTCAGTGTGAATGAAATAACAAGGTGCACTATAGTGCTATTTGAGCAGAAGCGCACACACATGCCTGGACCATGTCAGGAAGAAAATATAAAAAACTGTTAACCTTGTTTGTCTCTGGAGAAGTGCTCATGTGGGAAGTCTGGGGGTCAAAGCAATGCTTGACTTTCTTATTACTTATTTTAATATGCTTCATATTTTTTGTCTTATTTCCTGTATGTTCTTCCAAAAGTCCTTGCACATATAGTGCTTCTGTTAATCCTCCCAGCTATCTCCCGGGAGGTTAAGTTGAGTGTTTTCTTATTCGCTGAAAAGCCAACAGACTTAGAGGGGATTGCTTAGGGTCACAGAACCATTTTATGTTCCAACATGGACTCGCAGCCAGGGATTCTGATTCTGTCACTTTCCACTGTACAAGCTGACTTTCTATTGGGGGCTGGGGGGTACAGGTTTACCAAAGACCTAAGTGTCAATATTCTCCTAGGCTTGGCTACATTCATACTTTACGAGGAGCGTGCAGGATACTCCTGTGGTGGAGCAGTGAGAGCTGATTACTGAGATCTGTTACTGGGAGGATTGCATTAATTAACCTCTGAAAAACTTTAAAAGTTCATCTTCAGTTCTTTTTGTTTAATATTTCACAACATTACTTCAAAAGTATTTTAAAAGTTTAAGACTTTACCCTGTATTAACTAGTCAGATTTTTGGTAATATCTTACTATCATCAATTGTTATGATACTTACTGCATAAATGTATTAACACTGATGGTATAACTATGTTAAACCTATCTCTGCCATGATTATTGCTATAGTAATTTTAAGCATTAAGCCTTTTCTTTCCATAGATGACGGCAGGTAAATCCCAGCCTAGTTGCTATCTGGGTGATTACAAATTCAGAGACGGTCGAAGTGCAGCTGTGTGCCAGGAACTAAGCATTTTGATTGTAGACTTTCTGTTACTCAGTGGAGCCTAATTAGTCAATAAATCTAACTCCTTCCAGCTTTTCCTATGTATGTCATAGTTTCAATGTTCCCAATATTTAAATTGGTCCCAATATTTAAAAGTGCCCCTCCCCAGTTCTCTATAAAGAATTTAACTCAAGGTTGGAAGAACTGAGAGAAGGTGAATTCTACACATACAGCCACAGAGATACACACACATGCACACACACATACACACAGTCTCCAGTAGCACCATGGCAAGGAAATAGTTTACAGCTTCTGCTTATCTAGGCCAGGGCCTCCCCTTCTTCCTTGTAGCTTTTTCCCTCTTTAGTGCTCTTTCTGATACTTAAGGCAGTCGGAAATATAAGATGGTTCTCCCTAGTCTACTTATATGGCCAGTGAATGCCTTGGGAAAAGTGTCATTTAGCTTTTAACTTTACTTTTGAAATATTGTTATTTTTGTCTGATGAGGAAAATATTCTCAATTCCCATCCTCTGTTTTACAATATCAAACAAGGGGGGAAAACTATATTGTCAGTTACGATTCTATTCAATATAAATGCATTAAATTAAAATTAAGTAATTTTTGCCCTCATATTAAGCCTCATATAAGAAAACTCAGTAGAAAAAATAACAAATTATGAAAGACCGTAAGTTCTGCCTGACCGATATTTCCTTATTTTAAAACCTGTTTCCTGAGCTTGAGAAATAAAGCCAAATGAAACAGTTCTTGTTTCCAAGGAGCTCAAAACATTGAGTGCCCTTATAATCCATGGCAGGACGCATAGTAGCAATCACAATAATTCATGGTGCACCTGGATGTTGAATTCTTAAAATAAACTCTAGATTTACAGAATAAGGAAACTGAAGTTCACAGGGGTGAGGGTTGCCAAGACTATGTAGCCAGTAAATGATAGAATGAGATTCTAATCCCCTCGAATGGTCGTAGTAGGGATTCCTATTGTATTATGTGAATGAATCTTAAAAGTACACACCTGCCCTAGCCAGTGTGGCTCAGTTGAATGAGCATTGTCCCATGTACCAAAAGGTTGCCAGTGGATTCCTGGTCAGGGCAAATGCCCAGGTTGCAGGTTCGATCCCCAGTAGGAGGCGTGCAGGAGGCAGATGATTCATTATTTCTCACATCCATGTTTCTCTCTCTCTCTCTCTCTCTCCCTCTCCTTCTTTTCCTCTCTCTTTTTTAAAAAAAATTAAAAATCCATTTAAAAAGTATGCGCCTGTATATAAAATAAGTTTCAGCTTGCAGTTGTAAAATATCACATGTGTAGGGATGAACATGCAAAAATGCGCTTTGAATCATTTGAAAGCATTTCCACTGCTTGACTTATAACTGACAAGGAGAGACTCATCCCTTTTTAAGTTGATAATTGGATATTCCTGGGAGCCTTGTAACGCTTTAGGGCCAATGTTTTTATTATCAAACAATATACTTTTAAAAACCCAGTAGTAGCATAGAGTATATCAACAGACTAAGAAGAAAGTCAGCCACCATTGCCTCACCCATCTCAGCACCAAAGCCCCCTCAGAGACTGACATATAAATTGGTTTTCTCCATTATTATAAATACCAATATGTCTTAATTTATCATTTTAAGCATTATCTATCAACTTCTTGTCATGACAGATGTGTATTTAATATTTTTACTTTCTCTTATCCAATTCTGTCTTTGTATTCATTCACTGGTTTTCATTTACTTAGTAATCAGTGTTTACATTATATGATTCTATTAATTTTCACTTCAGAGTCATGTCATACTCATGTTTCCTTTCTTACCCTCCCCCTGCTCCAAAGTTAATGAATTATCTTTCTTTTTTGCTCACTCAATTCCCTACATCTATGTATTCCTTGTCAATGCTCCAGTAGCTCCGTCATGCCCACCCATCTTTTCCCCCCTCAAATGCCTCCCGTATCGAATATTCTATCAAGTCCTCCTTGTTGCGTCCACACCTGTTCCTGCTGCTTTCTGCCCTCCTGGTCTAGCATTAACAATCTGCAGTAGCTTTCTAAGCCTTCAGCAAAGCTGGGTATTTCATGGCTTTGCCTTATTGCTCTCCTAAATTAAGCTCATGTTCCAGACCCCAGGTCTTTGTCTTTTTTAGTTTTTTCTTCCAGTAGCTTTGGCCAGGGAAGTAAATTCTGTGAGTTCTTGAGTATCTAAAAGCACCTATATTCTACTCTCACGTGTGATGTATACAATGGATAGTATAGAAGTTGATTTTGATTTTGATTTTTTTAGAATTTTGAAGGTATTCTCTTATCTTTTATAGCCCAGTGTTGCTGCTGAGAAGTTTGGTGCCATCCTAATGATGTGTTTTGTACAGGATTTGTTTTTCCTTCTCTGTGGGAGTTCTCAGGTTATTTTCTTTATCTCTAATGTTTAGAAATTTTGTGATTATATACTGTAATTTGGGCCTTTCCTTGTGCTGAGCACTTGGTCTGCTCTTTGGATAAGGAGAAATCTTTCTATTTTTCTCTTATTTCATTAATAATTCTTCTTCTTCTTTTCTGTTTTGTTTTGTGTGCTTACTTTGCCCTGTTCCTTTGTCCTAGACCTTATTCAATCAATAGTTGGACTTCTAGATCAATTCTTTGTCAATAATATTTTATTTCCTATTTTCTATTTTTTGTTTTGTGTGTTGGTTTATTTTTGTTATTTTTTTTCAGGGGGAATACCTTAATTTTAACCTTCTAAACTTTCTTTTTGCTCTAGTTAAACATTTTTGGACATTGTTCATATTTTTATTTCCAAACGTTCATTCTTGACCTTTGAACTTTCCATAGCATCTCATTGTTAATGTATATATACATGCATTATCTTCTGATGCCTCTTAAAGGACATCAATTAGAATTGTTTTTACATTTTCTTTTGTTCTTTCGGGATCTCTGTTTCCTTTGGGCTCATTTCTTCTCTTTGTCTATTTCGCACTTGCATTTTCATGTTGGAGACTTTCTGTAAGTAACTGATGATCTTTGGTTCTGAGTGAGGCAATAGCAAAGTCACTGAAACCTTTGAGTGGGCTGGAGGGGCTTACTGACCAACACACTTTACTTTCAGATGAAGCAGAGAGGAGGTAGACTACTTTTTAGGATGACATACAAATGACAATACATGTAGAGAGTTCTTTATTCTTTGAGAGGGGCCAGTCTCATTGATAGTCTCTACTGGTAATACTCATTAGGGTAGCAACCCTAAAACATGGAGCCAGTTGGACTGGCTACAACCAATATTCCACAAAGGCTGCCAAGGAGCTATCATAAGAAACTTGAGGTCTCACACAGGTTGTGTGTAGAATCTCAGTGGATCTGCCGTTATAATTTTTAATTTTTTTAAGCCATTGAGAAACCTTTTAGTTGTCCTTTCATTTTGAAACTGAATCATATATTTTTCTCTATATCAAAGAATCCCAGTTTTTTTTTTTAACCTGACATCAGAATTACATAGAACCCCTGAAGTTGTAATGTTGTGAAGGGCGGTTATGGCTTTGGTGGAAGAAGGAGACATAACTTTGATGTCTTGGCCGAGACTTTAGTATGACATTGGGGAAGGGCAGGCAGCAGGGCCAGAGAACATTATGAGTTCATTATTTTTAGTAAAACATTCCCATATGTATCTGACTTATGTTCATACTAACAAAACAAACTTTCCACATGGAATTATTCCTAGGCTCCAGAAGTGTGAAACTCAAGTTATTGTATGCTGACTAGAGGCCCGGTGCATGGATTCGTGCACATTGAAAAGAAATTAATTAGAAGGTGGTCGGCGGGGCGGGACTAGGCAAGATGGGCGACACGCCCTGGAGCCAACCTCCCGTGTTCCCTCCCCAGCCGGCTGCACCTGGGGTGGCGCTGGGGCTTAAAGGGTGTCTGGAGTGAGTGGGGTCCCTCTGGCAGGTAGGGTCCCTCGGCCTGGCCTATGGAGATTGGTCCAGAACTGGCAGTCCGACATCCCCCGAGGGGTCCCGGAATGTGAGAGGGCACTCTGAAAAGTTGCTGTCGCTCAGCAACTCCTGTGTTGAGCATCTTTTCCCTGCTGGTCATTGCGTGTCATAGCTACCAGCTGGTTGGCTGGTTGGCAGGTTGCTTAGGCTTTTATATATATAGATGTTCCAACTTTGATATTGTTAAAGGCAGCCTGTGTGCTTCATGAATGGTAGATAAACAGTAATCGTTTGCTATTAAGTGGCATTTAAACGAAGAAAGAGTTGATGCTTATCTTACATCATTTTTGAAGATAAGGTTGAAAAGAAAGAAGACTTATTAGGTAAGCTAACAATGGAAAAGAGAGTAGAAGTGTGTCAACTTCCAAGACTCAGTTTCTCAAAAGGTAGCATCAACAGCTGGCTACGACTAATACCACCTCTGAAATAAAGATCATCTTCTGATTGACAACTCACTTTATTACTCAACTACCCCCGTGGACCTCCCAGTGTTTAGAGGAGAGTGAAAAATGAGCGAATGGTTACACATTAAGGAGTTATATATACACAGCAAGAGAGGGAAGTTGAAGGAGGATCATACTAGTCTATATAGTAGAACACAAGCTGTCCAGTCAAGCAAGACCTGGGCTTAAATCCTGGCTCTGTGTTATAGTACACTTATAATCTTGAAAAATCTTGAGAAACCAGTACTCAACATATATGAAAGAAAACCAGAGAAGGTAGCCAGCTGGCCCTCTAAGCAGTTATGGGAGAGGCTGACAAATAAATCATTAAGAACAAAGGCTAGTGATTGTATGGCAGAAGAATATACAGGGTGCTATGGGACAGAGAGGGACATCCAAATCAAATGAGAGGTCAGTGAAAACTACAGACCAAAGGGTGTGGGGACAGGATTCCAGGCAGAAGACAGATCATAGAAGGGCATTGTACATGCTCAGGGATTGGACTTCCTCTTGGAGACATGGGGAGACAAGGAAAGGTTTTAAATAGGGAGTCAGGTTTTTAGATAGAACAATTGAGTTGCAATGTGGGGGTTGGATAGAAGCAGATGAGACTTGCAGTGGGGAGATTGGTGAGTAAATAAGCACTCCAGATGAGAAAGGATATAATGAATACACACCATTCCGGTAAAGATGATGAGGCTCCAGAACCAACTTATCCTGGTTTGCCCAGAGCTGTCTGGTTTTAAAAAAAATCTGAAAGTCTCATGTCCTAGAAAACCCTTTAGTCCTAGGAAACCTACTTAGTTCCTGGCAAAGTAGGATGGTTGATCAGCCTTTCTGAAACTCTGAAGGAAGGGATGAAATGGATGAGATCACTAATTCAAGTGATACTTAGAAGGTAAAATCTATAAGACTCATAATTAGTTGGGTGTTGGAAGGGTGGTGACAGAAAGGGAGAAGTTGAAGACACTAATAAATTTTCTAACTTGGTTGCTGGATAAGCTAGTTGTATCATCATCCAAGAGAGGGTGAATCATGACGTGTGAATTCTTTCAGATCATGTACTTTCACGTCTACTTTATAGTCCTGTCCAACCATGCATTTTTTTGTATGTGTACTAATCACAGTGATTTCCTCTTTCAGTTCTACAATTTATATATATAT